TATATATAATGCGTATGTATGAATATATATATATACATATATATATTATATTTATATATATTATATCTATCTATTCATCAACACCCACCGCATGCGCACGTACCACACTTCAGCAGTGCTTCGTACTGTCTGATGATGGGTCTTATATTGGCCATTTGACAGATGTGCAGCTGTTGCTGTAGTCGGAAGTTGCCTGTCAGTGTTCCTACGCGGAACGTCTTCTGCATCTCAGTAGCTACAGTGGCCATGCGTAGCGTAAGTGCGAAAGGAGGTGAGGTACGCATGTTAGCACGTGACTGTTACAAATAGAAGCGTCAAACAGTACCCAGTCACTCGTACTACATACGGCAACCAACGTAAAAACAACACAAGACATACGGTGAGTAATGTACAATCAATGAACACACAACCAACGTACAAACAACACAATACATACGGTGATAAATATACATACAAGGAACACAAATCACTCTGCAGCCGACGAGCACACCATCGCTACACAGCGCGTGATTGGCAATCAAATACACTCAACACAGGCACGAACAACCATGCATCAGCAGAGAAAAGGAAGATACAAAGCAACGCTCACGACAATTAACACACAAACTCACTCACACACACAAATACAATCAATACACTCAATACACGCACCAACAACCATGCATCAGCAGAGAAAAGGAAGATACAAAGTAACGCTCACGACAATTAACACACAAACAAACACACACACTCTCTCTCTCTCTCTCTTTCACACTCACACACACACTCTCTCTCTCCACTGCCAGTTGGTATGAAGCGCACACGCACACACATACACCGCCACACAACACTCACTGTGCAGAGCCACGGGGCCATGGCAGACACACACGTACACGTACAAGCATGTCACATGCAGCTACCACATGGCAGGTTGAGGGAGAAAGAGATGTTGACACACACGTACAAGTACAAGCACGTCACATGCAGATACCACATGGCAGGTTGAAGGAGAAAGAGATGCTGACACACAGTGGTTCATATACACAATGGCACTCAGGGGATATACTGTAGTAAAGCAAGACAGTACCAATTAGTAATAGACACACAATAGCCCTGAGCGCACGTACTGTAGTAAAACACGATAGTACCAATTAGTAGTAGACACACAATAGCCCTGAGCGCACGTACTGTAGTACAACACGATAGTACCAACTAGTAGTAGACACACAATGGCACTAAGGGGATCTGCTGTAGTACAACACGATAGTACCAATAAGTAGTAGACACACAAGGGTTTTTAGGGTTTTTTTGGCACGTACTGTAGTGTAGTTTGATGATGAGGTTGTTGTCCTTGTCGGCCTTGTGTCGTGGTTTCTCTTGTACTAGTCCAAGGATGTGCGGGGGCAGTCCAGTCTTTGGGTCGATCACAGGCGCACCTGCTTTACCGCTGCGAATTGGCATTTAGGGTTTTTAGGGTTGAGGGTTTATAGTGGGTAATACATCTGCCCGACTGCAAATGGGCACCAATACACATATCACTATAAAGGGCAAGTACGAGATCTTTTTTAGATCTGTTTTTAACTAATTATAAAGATCTATCTTTAACCCATTATATAGATATATTTTTAGCCATAGAATTGAGTTGTATTGGGAGTGGCAGGAGTGTGTCTCAGGCGAGAGTCTGGTCAACTGATAATGAGAGTGCAAGGAGTGATTCCATTTGACCAACAGCCAATGTTAATGACATTGATAGTTCCACTTGCACCTGATGTGTGGCTACATACTCTGTGTTCTATTGATAGTTTCTATTAATAGCTCCACGTGCATCTTATGTGTGGTTACAAACTCTGTGTTCTATTAATAGTTTCTATCAATAGCTCCACGTGCACCTGGTGTGTGGTTACAAACTCTGTGTTCTATTAATAGTTTCTAGTAATAGCTCCACGTGCACCTGGTGTGTGGTTACATACTCTGTGGTCTTGTCTGGTGGTCTGCTGACTACCACCACATCGTCCACAGCAAATTCGCAGTCCATCACGGCTTGACTGGGCGCAAAGGTCAACAGCCAGAATTCCCCGGCCTTTTTCATATCTGTGGTAAAATAGAATGGGATAGTAATCCATAGATATGTTTGTTATTAAGTAGAAGGCAATCTATGTATATGTATGGTCATCCGTAGATATGATTGTTATTAAGTAGAATGAAATCTATGTATGTTACTATGTATAGTAACCCGTAGATACGATTGTTATTTCGTAGAATGGGGTCTATGTATCCTACTATATATGGTCATCCATGGATATGTTTGTTATTAAGTAGAATGAAATCTTTGTATCTTACTATGTAAGGTCATCCATATATATGTTTGTTACTAAGTAGAAGGGGATCTATGTCTATTACTTCGTCATCCGTATATTTGATTGTTATTAAGTAAAATGGGATCTATGTATCTAGCTATGTATGGTCATCCATAGATATGTTTGTTATTTAGTAGAAGAAAATCTATGTATATTACTTGGTCATCCGTAGATATGTTTGTTATTAAGTAGAACGGGATCTATGTATGCTACTATGTATAGTAACCCGTAGATACGATTGATAATACGTAGAATGGGGTCTATGTATCCTACTATATATGGCAATCAGTAGATATGACTAATACGCAACACATCGCAGTAGTTGCGATAAGAAAATCGGCGGCATGTCCCGCCCGAATAATTAGGGAAGGATTCCCGAAATTAACAAGAGAAAATCGGGACGATGATACAGATATATATATATATGAAATACGGAGCAAGAGGCTCACTATGTAGGTAACACGGCAACCAGCGAGAAATGAGACTCAATCAGACCCTGTGGTGAATATGTGCACACACAAGTGCTGTGAGTGTATGGGCTCCAAATATTGTTGGCTTATTCTGGTAATGAAGCACTGAATTTGGCTCGAGTCCTGAATCTACACACCGGTCTTTGGAGATACTGTGGTGAATACGTGCACACACAAGTGCTGTGAGTGTATGATGGCCTCCAAATATTGTTGGCTTATTCTGGTAATGAAGCACTGAATTTGGCTCGAGTCCTGAATCTACACAATATATATATATATATATATATATATAAGGTCTTTGGAGATACGCGATGCAAGTACCATACCACTGGCCGAAATAAAATTGGAACTAATAAACCACCAAATGTAAAATGGCCGTGAATTTCGGAGTGTTTTTGCGAGCGGCAAAATAAAATTGGATCTAAGACGCAGCAAACGCCAACTACACCAACGCACTCACCCATCAAACAGAAACCGTCAGTGCCAAAAATGCGCTCCACCCCAAAATCCGATTCACTTTTCAAAGAGTCGGCAAATTCAACCTGTGCCCAACGTGCGAAAAAGACATAAACACTGTGAGATGAGGAATTAAGCTCAGACAGTATGAGATGAGTGAGTCATAAAACAGAAACTCTATGAGATGAGTAAGTCAGAGGAAAGGTCACTGC